GTACGTACGTACGTACGTACGTACGTATGTACGTACGTTCGTATGTCAGCATTTTTTTCGTTTTCGATATCTCAAGAACGGATTGAGATATCGCCCTCAACCAAAATTTTTTCGAAAGATATTATCATAATGAAGATCTGAAAGAAATTTGAACGAAATCGGTCAAGCCGTTTTTTTTTTATAAAAAAAAAAACGAATTAATTACAAACAATTTAATTAAAATACGTTCTAATCTAATCACAACAATGAAGTTACGGAATCAATAATAACGAAATATCATTATTCAAGACAGGGAATAACATATTATAATAACATATTATAATAAAAATTTGTTTATAACAAAATGAATTGTTATAAACAATCGATAAACAATAAAAAATAGTATTTACCAATTGACTGATGCAAGTACTCTATCAATTCGGTTTTCTCAGACGAAATACTGTTTCTTATGGGTTTATAAAATGACGAACTCTCAAACATTGTTTGTTATTTATTATTGTGCCGCGTTTTTTTCAAACTTTAGAAACGAATGTACTTTACAATAACTGTATTATCTAATGGGAAGTTAGTCGTATTAGCACCGACCAAAATGTGCTCAGACCAATTTTATTTTAAATATTCATGTTATCAAAAACCGCATGCAAGCAATGCTTATCGGTCCGTACGGATTACAATGAACAGCGGATGGATACTGAGGAAGGGAAGCAAGTATTGTAAAAAAATAGAAAATGCTAGGAGCAATCTAGCCGAACGTCGCTAGTGTTGCCATCTCGAGGGATATATCCCGATTGGAGAGATTTTTCACATCCTTTCAATTTATAAGGACAGAACTATATTTACAAGGAGTCTCCGAAAGCTGGCTGCAGGCACCTGCCCAGTACAGACAAATTCGGTTCAAATTTTGTTTTAAAGTTGGTCAGATTCTAGGAACAGATGCTACAAAATTAATAAGTGTTTGATTTCCGAAGTAGCTACCTACTGCTTTTCAGAAAGATAAGAAATGAAAAGAATTGTTTCTTTTTTTCCTTCATTAAATACTTGAACTTTATTATTGACTAATTTAATTATTAAACAAGGAATTGTGAAGTGGTTACAAGTTTGCAAAGGTGAAGGTAGCTCAAACTAGGAATAAGTATGTAATGATTCTATTGTTGTTTATTTTAAGACGACTAAATATTAATTAATAACAACAGTCAATTTGAACAATTTATTTTTACTCCTTGTTACACTTGGTAGATATAAGTTTTTATAACCGTACTTCTACGACTAACTTCTTGAGATTGTCCCTGCAGGAAGCAGGGTAAGTGCCTGTTGCGCGAATGTATCCTGCATCTATGTACGCGTTTCCATATGACCATTATGCAATCAGATTGCGAACAGGAAAATTCCGCTAACATAAATTCCACCCTCCGCTAACAAGTATACCCTATGTCGGTTTACCAAAGTCTACATTTGAGGGCTTAAAGCTAAGAACCATGTATACTTATAACTGTTTTTTAACTTACATTTATAATCTTTGTAGATACATCTATTTTCATTGCTACAATGTACGATACCTTTTCACAGTTATTGCTGATATAATCAATTGTATACGTAAATGAAATTATCAAAATTTAAATAATGAATCAGCTGTTACCAGGCACGTAACTCAAGTTGCAGCTTATGCTTTCATAAGTTGTGCAAAACAAAAAACTGTCTCATCAGAATTCTATTGTAAAAAAGTAATCGTGTAGTCTTACTAATGAAAGGCTGGCTTACTAAAAAAAAAAAAAAACAAAGAAATTAAATTTTTATTTGCATTTATTTATTTTAGAGCGGAATAAAAGTTACATAATTACAATGTATTTTTGTAAAACTTCAGTTGTTTTTTTAATATGTAAAGAATAATTTAGACCAAAAAAGAAAGGTTTGAAATTATTATTGTAGAAGGCACAAGTTGGAAAGGTTTATAAAGAAATTAGGAGATATTTTGTGCCGGTGCTTAGGATTATTTGTTATAGTGGGGTGACATACATATACAGGCGCCTCTTTTCCATTGGGCACTCTGGGCAAGTGATCAACGGAGGCCCCCCTATATAGTTCCTACCAGGTCCATTCGCCAACCAAAAGCCAAAAAGAAAATTAATGAATAATTGCTGTTAGAATATTTACATGCATAATCGCTTTTGCATGCTATAAACGCGAGCATACCCAAATGTAGGTGATTATTCAAACATTTATATATTCTGAAATTTTATTACTTCGAATCGCTCTCCAATGAGAAAAATACAGAATCTGACTACAAGGACTTGTCTCAAAGAATAAGACTTAGAAGTTCGCGCCAGACATTTTTTGATGACTCTGCACCGATAGTCCAACTGAGTTGGGAAGAGATATTAAAGTAGAAATACCTTACTTCCCATTGCTGATTCAGACATTTCAAACAGTCACTCACCACCATACACATTACTAATTCGCGGATGATTCGCGCGGTTTCACTTAAAATTGTTTCTTGTGATTTAAGACATACATTATTGCAACACCATTAAAAATTTTAGGAGTAAAATGTAAACAAAACCACCTACCGACTTTAAAATTCTATTCGTACTAAAGAAAGGTTAACTGTTTCTTGAGATGTGGGAAATGGTTTTTTAAAAGTATTTAAATACAAAATGCAAATCCTTTATTTCATTTGTTATTTCAAATGCAAAATACAAA